ATGTGTTATTTTTTTAAACAAATTATGAGCTCTAAAAGATTTTCAGAATTTTTACAACTCTTTTGCTTTAGACCATTAAAAAATGTTAAATCTTAAAATAAAATATTACGGTTACTACTGCATCTTTCTGAAAAAAAAAATGCAGCGATTGAATATAGTTTATTTAGTTTATTTATAGTTCTTTTCAAATCTTCAATGTACTGTCATTATAAAAGAACTTCATTATTGTTTATTTAATTCTAACAAATAAGTTCTTTTTAAAAACTAAGCAAAATTAAAAATAATTTGCTTATAATTTCCGCACAGGAGAGACTTGTTGTTTCCAAACAAAATAAATATATCCGCTATCGGCCAAAATGAGTTGAAAAATATCGCCATATCGGCAAAAATCCAATATCGTGCATCCCTACTATTTTAGTATCATTTAAGATGTAATTTATTTCTGTGATGCAAAGCTGAATTTTGACCATCGTTACTCCAGTCTTCAGCGTCAAATATGCTGATTTGCTGCTCTAGAAACATTTCAGATTATCGTGTATTTTTGTGGAAACCATGCATATATTCAGGATATATTCACATTTATATGATGCATAGAATGTTCAAAAGAACAGCATTTATTTGAAATGCTGATTTTTTTGTGATAGTATAAAAGTCATTACTGTCTCTTTTGAAAAATGTAATGCATCATTACCAAATATTCATTTAAAATATATGTACATGTAGATAAATAGATACTGTTCAAATTCATTTTGATTCCCTCACAATTAGGTGTGAAAAAACAACAAAAACTGTTGATTCGGTGTTGGCCTAGTCATAGCATTGACATAACTGAAAGAACACCAAACATGCAAGAATTGTATGCAAAACGTCAAATTAAAGAAGCAGAACTCTAAACTGCATATCAGTGCTTATTTCCTGAAACTAATCCGCTTTTACTGTATCTAAGTGTTCACTGGGACAATGGCCAGTAAAAACTCATCCCGCCTCTTTCTCTTTGTGTTAGGCTAACCCCAACAGCGAGGAGATCTGGCTGGCTGCCGTGAAGCTGGAATCGGAGAATAACGAGTACGAGAGAGCCCGCAGGCTGTTGGCCAAGGCCCGCAGCAGCGCCCCCACCGCCAGGGTGAGCAGCCCCTTGAGTGTCAAATAGATGTAACCGCTGCTGTGTCATGCTGGGGACACCCGTCTGCCGGGAACGCATCGTTTCGGTTCTGCATGTTAGGATTTCTCTTGTTTTGATTGCCAGAGATAAGTGATGAGATCAGTAGATGAGGGGTGAGTCACCCTGTAGAAGTGCTTGTGCAACAGGGTGTTGAATGTGACACTAGCGGGAAGACGATTTACAAAGGCATGGCTAGTGAAAGTCCTTTGCCCGTTTTGCTTGTATGCATATCAGGTTTGTGCATGAAAACCTCATCTTGCATAGCCTAGTTAAGTTCAAGGTTGAACTAATAATAGTAATAATATTTCATCTAAAAAGTGGCCCACTGACGAATTGGACCACATTAGGCGCCATGTCATATTAAGGGTTAAGTTGTGTCATCACTGAATGTGACTCGTTTTCATTTCAGTTAAACAAATTAGAAAAACAAATATTTGCTTAAGCACACTCGGGTTTCTCTGCAAAACATAATTATATTAAACCATCAAGGAAAAAGTTTTAATATTCAGAAACGTTTTTCAGCTTAAACCGCTGACTCCGTTTACCCCAAAGCATCTGACACACTTTTCCAGTTTTCTACTGTTTTAATAAGATGTTTAATTTAGTAATTCATTAGGTAATTATAGTATAATTAAGATACTGTTACATTTTCTAAATATATTTTTAATAGTGCATAATTTCATAATTAAAAATTTATTAAAATGCATAATTTAATACTTTTTTGAAGTTTTAATATTTTAAATTCTTTATTTTCTTTCTTTCTTTCTTTATTTATATAGCACTATATAAATACAACTAAGTTGCCCAAAGTGCTTTACAAGGTACACATAGAAAATAACACATCAACATGAAGTAAATAGCGTTAAAAAAATAAAATAAATAATAATAATACAGTCCTAAAGCAACACCCATTTAAAATGCCATAGAGAATAAATGAATTTTTAATTTGGATCTAAAAATAGCCAGAGTCGGTGCCGTTCTGATAGCTAGTGGCAGCTTATTCCACAGATTTGGACCGCTCCCCGCAAACGCACGATCGCCCTTGAGCCTAGATCTAGTTCTGGGCACTGTTAAGAGTGCCAGATCACTGGATCTAAGTGATCTAGAGGGAACATGTCTTACGAGGAGATCTGTAAGATAAGGTGGAGTGCGGTTATAATTAGACTTAAATACCATGACCAGGATTTTGAACTCAATTCTGTATTTTACAGGTAGCCAATTCAACGAAACAAGGATGGGAATGATATGTTCATTGAGATCAGTAGATGAGGGGTGAGTCACCCTGTAGAAGTGCTTGTGCAACAGGGTGTTGAATGTGACACTAGCGGGAAGACGATTTACAAAGGCATGGCTAGTGAAAGTCCTTTGCCCGTTTTGCTTGTATGCATATCAGGTTTGTGCATGAAAACCTCATCTTGCATAGCCTAGTTAAGTTCAAGGTTGAACTAATAATAGTAATAATATTTCATCTAAAAAGTGGCCCACTGACGAATTGGACCACATTAGGCGCCATGTCATATTAAGGGTTAAGTTGTGTCATCACTGAATGTGACTCGTTTTCATTTCAGTTAAACAAATTAGAAAAACAAATATTTGCTTAAGCACACTCGGGTTTCTCTGCAAAACATAATTATATTAAACCATCAAGGAAAAAGTTTTAATATTCAGAAACGTTTTTCAGCTTAAACCGCTGACTCCGTTTACCCCAAAGCATCTGACACACTTTTCCAGTTTTCTACTGTTTTAATAAGATGTTTAATTTAGTAATTCATTAGGTAATTATAGTATAATTAAGATACTGTTACATTTTCTAAATATATTTTTAATAGTGCATAATTTCATAATTAAAAATGTATTAAAATGCATAATTTAATACTTTAAGAAGAGCTGTTTCGGTGCTGTGCTGGATTCTAAAGCCTGACTGAAATGTACTGAGAATAGAGTTACTACTCATGAAGTCATGTAATTGTATGGAGACCACTTTTTCTAAAATGTTTGCCATAAAAGGCACATTTGAAATGGGTCTAAAATTAGACCGTAGAGGGGATCTAAATTCCCTTTTCTTAGTTGAGGTCTGACTGTTGCATGTTTTAACTGATCTGGTAAGACATTTATTTATAAGAGACAGCAAACTAGGTACAAGCGTCTTTACAATCTGTTTAAAAAAAATGTGGAGGAATCATATCATGCGGGGAAGCAGAAGGCTTTAAGTGATCTATGGTTTCGTAGAGTGAGGAAAGGGTAATAGGCTCAAACTCACTCCAGGTAGCTCGATCAACGTTAACTGAAAAAGAACGGTTAGTCAAATAAGATGTAAACCATTGTACATACAGTGTTCTAAACGGGAAATAAGAATAGAGGGATTAATAGTATCAAACGCTGCTGATAGATCGAGAAGTGTGAGAACCACAGAATCGCCAGATGTCATTTAATACTTTAAGAAGAGCTGTTTCGGTGCTGTGCTGGATTCTAAAGCCTGACTGAAATGTACTGAGAATAGAGTTACTACTCATGAAGTCATGTAATTGTATGGAGACCACTTTTTCTAAAATGTTTGCCATAAAAGGCACATTTGAAATGG